GAGGGAGCAGGAGAAAACAGGGAATGTGGGATGAAACCAACGGGACAGCAGCACCACAACCCCTCCACAGCTCCCTGAAAATTTACAGGAAAGGGATAAATCCCCTCAAGCAGAGAAGGGGCTGATTTGCCATGCTCGGAGCAGCCCCAGCATTCCCAAAGAATCCATCCCCATTCCCTGGCACCAGGACACCCCTCGCATCCTGCAGAGCCCCTGGAATGATTCCTGAGCGCTGCCACAAGCGCCAGTCGCTCCTTAATGAACAGAACGCGCCGATCCCGTGCCTGACGCGCTGCCAAGCAAGCCTGCACTCGTCTGTGGTGTCTAGAAGGAAGAAGCGTCTCCTCCTCCTCCTCCTCCTCATTAAAAAGCTCCCTCTCTCCCCAGCTGGAGCATCCCTGCTGTCCCCAGGGGAGTCACCCCCTCCCCGAGGCTCCAGGACGTGCCCCGTGACTCCTGCACCGATGGGTTGGGTTGGAGGGGACCCCAAAGCCCTTCCCATTCCCTGTGGGAAGAGGCAGGAGATCCACCATGGAATGGCTCCCCTGGGAAATGCACAGCTCATCCCAAAGAGGCTGCCTGGGCCAAGCCAAGCGCAGGGATCGACTCAGATGGGGATAAATGGGGGTTCTGGATGGCTCTGGGGAGTGGGAATGGTCTCCCTGGGGACTGTCCCATGGTCAGGACACACTCCCACGCCCAAGGTGAGGAGCAGGGAATCCTTCCAGGGAGTCCTGTCCCGCTCAGGAGGGACTGAAGGGGGTTTAGGAGCCTCCATATCAGCCTAAATGGATCCACAAGCACAACAAGTGGTGTCTGCTCATCCACGCTGGGTTCTGTGCCCAGCACCTGCCCTACTCACCTGGGGCCAGGTGTGTGACCCTCCCCGTCCCCAGGGCAGCCGTGGAGGACACAGCTTTTCTGCTCTGTCACAATCTGCTGGCCTGTGCATCGTCCTGGCTGCTCACAGCCAGCGCTCCGTCCATGGCCACCAAAGCCGGACACTGCCAGCCTGGCAGAGCGCCCACCTGGAGCATCGCCACTCCATCCCAGAGCTGCTCTTCCCCTCCCAGCCACCTTGGCCCTCGCCCCGGCCCCTCGGGTGAAGGACGAGCCCGCGCCATGCCACACC